TAAACTAAGAGAAAAGGTTACCGGCTGCAACCATTATCGCGTTTTTATACGCGTAAATTCGCGATCTTGGTGAGGTATCACATTAATTGGTTGACTACTTCAACATTAGTCAACATGCTTACAAATTAGTGAAGCTAGTTCCCGAACCGGAAGTGAGTTCGATGGCAGCTGCTTCCTTACACAAATAAACTAATGTACGAACCTTTAATATTGAATCATGTTTGGATTTGCGCTATTGTTTATTGCATGTAAGTAATTTTCATGTCATGGGAAGTGCGATAGTCTTAGCTAGACTTGAAGCTAACCCAGTCTGTTGTTCAGTGGCTATTCCTACACTCCGTCTTGCCCTCTCTCCTTAAGCCTTTTCAGTAGCCACAATGAGTCGGCAGGCCTCCTCCACATGGGCCCTAGCTAGAAAGAGGCTCTAAAATTTTCTGAACGAAGGAACTACTAAAAAAGTTTTAATTTATCTCTATACATTGTCTTTATATTCCATTTCCTCAGTGGATCACCTAACTTTTTCACAAGCTGATAAGTAGGCAAAATCAGAAAACGAGTAGTATGGTCCAATTGTCTATTTCGCCTCAGATAACAAATTCCCCTAATCTTGTCACTGGCAATTTATATGTGATCGTCTACTAATACTGATGGGCAATTGTTTTGAGACAGTATATGCCTCAAGCTGACAACCTGGTTACTTTGGTTTACGTCTGCTAGATGCAGATATCTTATTATCACATATTTCATAACTCCTAGTTTGACTCTACATGTATGGTTGGAGAAGAAATTGAGGAAACCCGTATGTATTGGTTTTCTATTTACGTCTACCTAACATATTAGCTTCTTTGCTCACTAATACATCCAAAAAAGGCAATTTTATTTCCTCTTCTAACTCCATGGTCAACTTAGTATTTGCATCTATTCTATTTATTAGCTCAAGGAATTCTTCCAAACTATCTTTGCCGTAGAGAATTTGTTTGACCTTGTTTTCGCAACTTGGTCATATTAGTAGGAAGATTTAGAGGAAGGCAACTAGTCCGGAGACCATTGTACACATGTAAATGTCCAGAGTTGGACCTTGGACATGGTAGATTCCCAGACTTTTCGCCGGAGTCATCAGTGAGTATTGCCAGTCTTAGCACCACAGTACAACTCGACAAAGAGACAAGTGAAGCCGATCCTTTGGCAAATTGTCTGCTAAACAATCTTGGTATCTCTCCTTCCGCTCTGGGCTAATCACCAGTCCTTTATCCTCGTATCACGCCTTCACTATCACAATTTTTACTTTCTTATTTAAATGTGGTATGGTGTGCCCTTTTCAGCAATTTCATGAGAACTCTCCACGCTGGATTTCTCATACCCCTTGCCCTTGTGCTAGGAATGTTGATCAGAGGCTGCCATATTGTTACACAATCCTCCTTCCCTAGGTCTTATCAGGGCCCCGTCTGCTATCTCCCTAGTTCAAGTGTTTCAATCGACCCCCGCCACCCCATCTGTGCTCCACGAGGCGTTACTTCCGACACTCTTCGTCTGGGAGATTAATTTGAGACTAAAGCTTCTGAGTAATTCTTATAGGGCTTTGCTTCACGGGCCACGTCTATAGTAAAACAGGCTTACTGTCAACCAACTAGCTCTAGTCTCCGCCGCGTGTATCCTGTTTCTATCCTTAATACCAAGTCTATAACCTCATATGTCCTAGTCTCTTGTGTGACAATCCACAAATGTGATACTGCTTGCCTTGATTAGGTTCAATGTCGAACCACAACATTTGTTGGTTAGAATACAAGAAACTAAGGCGTAGGAGGTCATAGATTTGATATTAAGGATAGAAACAGAATGGACGCGGCGAAGACTAGAGCTAATAAGGTATCTGCGTCTAGTAGACGTAAATCGAAGAAGCCAGGTCGTCAGCTTGAGGCATATACTGTCTTAAAACAATAGCTCATCAGTATTAGTAGACAATTAAATATCAATTGTCAGTGACAAGATGAGGGGAATTTGCTATCTGAGGCGAAATAGACCATTGGACTATCCTAATCGTTTTCTGATTTTGCCTTCTTGTCAGATTGTGAAAAAGTTGGGTGATCCACTGAGAAAATGTAATATAAGGACAGTGTACAGAGATAAATTAACACTTTTTCAGTAGTTCCTTCGTTTAGATAATTTGCAGAGCACAAGGTTTTGTGCTTGTGTGGTAAGGTCTTGGCCTTCATATCTTTGATTGAACTACGATAGTAATATTGCCAGACAATGCACTGAATAGGGCCAGGCAAAAAAAACCACTATAAGTCAATCTTGTCATCTGACCTTTGTAAAATGTTGTAGACGTCATGGTATTATTCATGATTACTGTGGCCGTAAGATACCCTACCATTCGGGTAAGATTAATGCGTTTTCCCAACAGGTCTTTATTTAGAAATTAAGTGAAACTTATGATACGGAGAGGAATAAGCTATTTAAGTTTATAGCTATTAAGTCAAAGCTGCGGCGTGATCTGAACATGATCCTGACTCCGGAAGGCTTTAAAAAACTTCAGATCATGACCGATAGGAAATTACTTAGGATCTCTGGCATTGTAACGAAACGACACGACAATAAATTACGTAAGTTTGGGATTATAAAACAGCATAGGTTTAAACCAGTGCCCCAGTTGAAGTGTTTTCCGAGGTGGCAACATCTTTTGATCAGTATGACGATTGGAAGAAAGTAGTGAATTTATCATCATTTCCTCTTGATCCTAAAGTCACCACGATCATGAAAAATTATTCAACTTTTTACTTGAAAATACTAGACATTTTCTAGGAGACATCTTGGTGGATGTTGTCAATATCTCCGAATAGTACCCTGACCATGGAAATTGAAATTGAACAAGCTCCAATTATCTTGATACATCATGAACCGAAGGACATGAACAGACAATGCAGGATGCGCAAGACCCTGGAAACGAACGAACAATTAGTTCTTTTGGCGGATAAATGAGGAGCCACAGTGATAATGGACGAAAAACAATATATATTGAGAAGATGGAATATATTCTATGAGACAGGATTATATATCGTTCTGAAGTTTGTAAATAATATTGATAAAAAAATTAAATTCAAGATATGAAGACCAAGATGTTGTGGCCTCTGTTTTGGTCGCAGTCTCCTTTCGATTTATAGAAGTGGGT